ACAGAATGAGTCTTAAATAAGTGCAAATTTTTTCAGGACTAGTAGATCTCGATAAAAGAAGCAGATTTTCTCTTTACCGTTTTTCAAATAAGTCTATAATAACGGAGTTTATGAAGTTTGATATTAAAAAATATATATCTCCAACAAAGTTCTATGGGTATTTGGTTTGGCCACTGTAAGAATATCTACAAAATAAAATAGTTATTTTGTTGTAAACACTGCTGCGTTAATCCAACGGAGACTAATTGTCAGCAGTGATCTACTAATAAACAAATTTGCCTAACGAACAAAAAAATGCTTAACGTTTTCTTCCCGTCATCGGAAGCAAAAAAAAAAATTTAAAATATCTAAATGCAACTATTCGAAGATACTTTGTTTTTTTTTAACAGATGCGTCTATAAAAACCGTTGACGTTTAAATGACATTATATCAAGTTAAACTTCAAAATTGACAATTACATAATAAGGTAAAACTAAAAAGCTTCAAACTTTCTGTATAATTGTTTATTTATATTATGTTCGTTACAATCAAAGAAGCTATTGCTATACATTACCAACATCTACAGATGCATGAGCAATAAATTTATTTTTTTAGATTGGATTAAAAAAGCCTCTTTTATTTTTTTTTTGGAGGCAATGGCTTATTTAAACCAGTAAATCACCACAATACACCAAAACACTTTTACTTTTACACTGGACGCGCGTTTCACTAACCATGTTAGCATCATCAGCAGATGATTAAAAACTAACCTACAATCTAAAATTTGAGCGTTTATATACTCGCTCAGTGGGCACCGAGTGGGCGTGGCAAGATCTAGCCAACCGAGTCAGAGCCAACCGAACGTAACAGTTAGATTTCCGCCACTAAAGTAGTAGGAACAAAGAACTTGAAGGAATTGGACTGTTGTCTCCGTTCATACTATCTTTACATTTATTAATTCTGATGCTTTAATATGCATCTAATTGCCTGTAATTTGAGACTTGTTTAATTAATTTTAAATTATTAAGATATGATATATTATACATGTTCTTTATCATAGTTGCTGAACATATTGCTTATCAACAATATGTTTAGCAACGCAAGATTTATGCGGTCTACCATATTTTATCTGAGCTAAATGTTCTTTAAATCTACTTAAAATTGATATTCTAGTTTGCCCAACATATTTCTGATTACAATCTTTGAGACAATGGATTACCCATTGCTGTACAAAAAAGTTGTTATTAAATTGAAAACAATTTTATTTCATGTTGTAAGCTCAATATATTCAATCACAGTTTTGTTGGCGAGACCATTTGCTTTCAGTAATTCCTTCAAGTAGCCTAAAGTATGTGAAATTGGAACACTTGAGAACAACGAAGATACATCAAAGGAGACCAAAATTTCACCTTCATGCAATGTTATATATTTGTAATTTTGTTAATGAATTCAATATTATTTTTATCTGAGAAAGAGGGTTCATGATTAGGTAAATTTTCGAACTTTCTTGATAACCATTTTGCCGAATTATAAGTCGGAGAACCTACAGCCGAAACAATTGGGCGCATAGACGTATCCGGTTTATGAATTTTTGGCAACGCATACAATATAATAATTTAAAATTACTTAAACAAGTCTCAAATTACAGACATATATGCGATTAACAGACAGTTATAAAAAATTTTCTGAAATATACAGGAAAGTTTAAAAGAAAATACACGATTTTCATCTTTTTTAAAAAAACAATTTATTTTATTTTGTAGATTTTCTTCTAGTAGAGTAAGATCCCATGCAGAGCGATCAGACATAACTTATTTTCACAAGAATGAAACCTTAGGCTCTCAGTAGTGCTTTCATGTGCTTTGAATAACGGCGTGTTTGTGTGGTTTCGCCCTGTGGACACCAGGTGAGAAAAGTAAGGTAAATATTGTGTGACCAACGGATCTGTAGCTACGGGGTATCGGCAGGGGAACGCAGTTGTAAACAAGACACGCCCAATTTCATTCATAAAATAGGCATGGGCGTACGGTGTTTTATGAAAATAATATGTATCATAAATATAATATTCAGATTAATAATATTTTTCTAAAAACTTTATCCTGTTTGAATCGTAACTGTTGAGTTAGCAGATAAACATACTAAAAGCTTTTATTAAAGCTCCCTTAAATATTTTAAATAATTTTATTATTATGTGTTGTTAATATAATAGAAGAAATAATTACAGCTAGGGGTTGGAACCTTTGGTGTTACACAGTAAAATAAAACACTAAATCAGCACAATACATCAAAACACTTTTACTTTTACACTGGGCGCACGTTTCGCTAACCATGTTAACATCATCAGCAGATGATCAAGACTGAGTCTTGAGGTATATTTATTTATATATCTGTACTAACTATATTTTTTTCTACAATACATAATTTTAGATATAACTATTTCCAGCAAAAAGAAATCTTGAAAATAGTTAACTTTGGAAGCGCAAACAAAACATAATTTTACTCACCAGTAGATCCAATATTGCCTATTACATCGCTCCGCCAGCACTTTTTAAAGGTTAGGTCATTGTCTGCCCATGTTTCATCCAAATAGATAATACTTGGCTATATTTTCGAATTTCGCGTATATATTTATATCTCTCTCTGCAATATAATGAGCCGCTCCATTAATATTTATCTGTTATTTTAACATTTACGCCAAAAAAATCCATTTGATTTTAATAACCCCCTAAGCGTGTCCCTGCCAAAGGAAAATTCGATTCTTCCTACAATTTTTGCAAAAGCTTTCTATTGTGGGGACGACTTTGAATTCGAGATAAAATCTATTTATCAAATTCCTGACCACTTGGAAATCAAAGTCGTCGAGCTCACGTAGCCGTTTCTTTCCAGGGCTGGATATCATTTTATCGGGGTTAGTTTCCAGTCTTTTTTATCTTCTGTGTGAATATTTTTATTGCCGATACGAACTCCGGTATAAAGAGATATCCGCTCAAGTTTACGTTTAAGCGGCAACTTAAGCGAACTCTCTGTAGCTTCTTCGTCGCAAACCCTGTTATGAACACAAGGAAATAAACCAAATGTTAGTTTAGCTAAAATATGTTAGTTTAGCTAAAATATTTAGGTAAAATGTGGGTGCTTTTCATTTTAGCCAATATTTAATTTTAGTATTCTAATAATTACATTATTATTATTCTACTTACCTATATAAATTAGCTATTATTTCTCTTGTCCTGGCTATGTAGCATCTTACCCTTAACAAATTTATTCATTTTAAAACACAAATATACGATCAAACTTAATATTAATAATTAAAAACTACGAACGAAAAACATTATAACAATATAACAAAACAATAAAACACATTTTAACTATTAAATATACGAAAAATATAGGAATAAAGTTTAGGATAACCGGTATAAAATAATGAGAGAAAGTAATAATGATCAAAACAATGACACCGCCACTGGATATTTCAATAGTATTCAATATTTCTACTCTTTTCAGAAGTAACCGTGAAGTTGGGGATAAGGCTAGCGAATAGGAAAGGCGTAAAAGCCATGGCAACCGCGTAGTAACAAATCCTGTGACGTACTCTCGCCAATCATGTTCGATGAATAGGCGGCCGTGCGCGGCGATGCCGGTTTGCCAATGATATCGTTGAAATATCTTCACCTTTCGTAATAAGCAGATTATACAGAATGAAAGAAATAAGTTATTAAATAAAACAATATGAACTACGTTAAAATTCCTTAGTAATATACGTTAGAATATATGCTAAACACATTATATATAATAAAAATATACTAAATGTATAGTTCATGTCTGGCAATTTTGCAGTTTTATAGATAAACCTGGAAATGTCGATTTTTTTTCCTCGCATTCCTTCCGTAGCTTCAGATCCGCTGGTCAAACAGTATAAGGTTAGTTATAAAGGTGTCACAGGGCGAACCCCACAAACAAGCCGGTATTCAAACACATTAGGGCACTACTGAGAGCCTAAGGTTCCATCCTTGTGAAAATAAGTTATATCTGATCGCTCTGGGATCTTGGACTATAGTGGCGAAAAACACAGAGGTATTTTTTGATTAAATTAGAATATTTGAAACTTTGAACGAAAGATTCATTTATTTATGTTTTATTAAATTTTCGTTTTGTTTGGTAAAATAAAACCCTAACTCCTCGCCCTACACGTTGTCGTATTTCCGCCATTTTTAGCGAGTGGTGGGGATGAATGAGAGATTGGTGTGAGTTCGGCGCGGTCGGTATATAATGGAGTTATTTTCGGTTCGCAGCGCCAAGATGAATTGCTCAGGTCGTCGGGGTTATTATTTATATTTCTCTGCGGATAAAAAGTATGAAAGGTCGTCATGATACTCCACGGGGATTAATTATTTGGTTAAATAAAAGAGACCTTGAATAACGGACCTTTTTTATTAAAGGTTTCTCTTCAGATGGTGTAAAATATACGTTTTTCTTTAGGAAGAAATATTTTTGTAGGTTTATTTTGTAAAGACGTTGCTTTACTTTTGAAATTTTACACACGGGTCAGGTATATCAGGGATATTAGCAATCTGTAGTAAATCCAACAACTACTGGTGCTTATTAATATGTAACCATGTGGTATGTACAGGTAGGCCAGTTAACGTAGCCGAGTTTTATACAGTGTGTCCGTAAAGTAACGGATAAATTCATTTAAAATTCAACCGTTTTTTTTTTTGGAAAAACGCTCGGACACGTCAATCTTAATTTTTAGAGGCGCTACTTTTAAACTAATTTGCTGTTATACAGGGTGGCCCAAAAAAAAGATATCACGTGACACTTCAATTTTTTAAATGGAATGCCCCGTATATTTTAATGAATATCGATAGAGCTCATCGAGACGAATTCAACGATATAGGGGTTAATAGGTCTATCTTGAACCGTTTGTTTACAAAAAATAAAAAACTTTACAGCTGTTGCAACGCTCAGCAATTATGATTTATTTTAATGACAGTGCTAAGAAATGGTGATAAGGTAATAACTTATTATTTAATAAAGTGTTCGAATTGAAATCCCTCTTGAGCTTGACAGAAACCTAAGCGGTTAATGAATTCCTCTTGAACCCTGCTTATAGTTTCTCGAGAAATGTTATCGCATTCTCTTCGAATCCTGTTTTTTAGTTCTTCGAGATTATCAGGTTTAGTTTTGAATACGACGTTCTTCAGGTGACCCCAGAGGAAAAAATCAAGGGGTGTGAGGTCAGGTGACCTTGGCGGCCATTCGATACTTCCTCGCCTTCCAATCCACTTCCCTGGAAAAACTTGATCTAGGAAACGTCTCACATAAACTGCATAATGTGGCGGTGCGCCATCTTGTTGATACCACAAATTTTCGTGTGACATTTCAGGATTATTTCTATTTGGAAATAATCCCCTTAGTGTAGGTATAAGATAAGTCTGCAGAAATTGAAGATACCTGATCCCAGTTAGAGTGTCGTCAAAAAAATAAGGCCCAATAATACGATTCTCTACAATGCCCGCCCAAACGTTGATTTTCTGAGGATATTGGGTGTGGCTTTCTCTCATCCACCTAGGGTTTTCGTTGGACCAATATCGTACGTTTTGGCGATTGACTTCTCCGTTTAAAGTAAATGTAGATTCATCTGAGAAGATTATACGTTTTACGAATAATGGATCATTATTGCACCTATCCATCAATATTTGGCAAAACTGCATTCTACGATCTGGATCATCTTCGGATAACTCCTGTACTAACTTCATTTTGTATGGGTGCCACCTCTCCAGTCTTAGCAAGCTGTGAACACAGCTTTTCGAAACATTATATTCTCGACCAACCTGACGGACACTATTATGTGGATTTTCTTCGAAAGATAAAAAAATGTTCGTTTTGGCTTCCTCACTGACAGAAGGACGTCCGCTTTTTGACAAATTATCAACAGAACCGGTTTCTCGGAATTTATTTTCTATTCTACTTAGTGTTGATTGAAATATGGTCATTTCAGGATATTTATTATTGAACAAAACGCATACTTCTTTCTGTGTGCGTACTCGGTCCCCATATCCAATAATCATTAAAACTTCAATTCTTTGTGTAAGTGATAACGGCATTGTACTTCAAGGCAAAGGAATGTTTAATTGATAACAAAATGCTCTGACACTCAAGTGACAAGACTAACAATAAGACTGGTGTTTACTTAGCGTGTGCCTACCTGCAGTTAGTCAAAAAAAAATATTAAGATGTTTTTTGATAGTGTAAAGTTTTTTATTTTTTGTAAACAAACGGTTCAAGATAGACCTATTAACCCCTATATCGTTGAATTCGTCTCGATGAGCTCTATCGATATTCATCAAAATATATGGGGCATTCCATTTAAAAAATTGAAGTGTCACGTGATATCTTTTTTTGGGCCACCCTGTATAACAGCAAATTAGTTTAAAAGTAGCGCCACTAAAAATTAAGATTGACATGTCCGAGCGTTTTTCCAAAAAAAAAACGGTTGAATTTTAAATGAATTTATCCGTTACTTTACGGACACACTATATGTAAAGGTGGAAAAAATTAGTAACCAACCGATCTCAACGGGAATGTGTAGATAATGACCTCCTATTTAACCCCTCAAAAGTCCCATTCGGTCCCAGTGGGGGAAGTTTGAAAAAAAACAGTTGCCATCTTGGATTTTTTTGTTTTTTTCAAATATCTCCGTTTGCATAACTTTATAGTTGAGGACGAAAATGACGCTCAGGATGACGTCATAGCAGATTTTATTTAAAACTTTAATTTAATAATATTTTTTTTAACAACAATTTTATTTAATAAATAATATTTAAACACTATTTTTAATTGTTTTAATGCATAAATTTATACTTGTTTTATCTATATTAGCGTTATACTGTTAATGCAAAAATTATAGCTGATTGGTTTAAAAAACTGGAAAATTTATAAAAGGTATAGTAAAAATTTGCTCTATCTCTGTTACTATTTATTTTAAGAAAAAAACGATTGATAGTAGAATATTCTAAATTTAATTCTCTACAAAAAACATATCTTTAGATTTTTCGAAAAAAGTTATGCAAACGGAGATATTTGAAAAAAACGAAAAAATCCAAGATGGCGGCGGTTTTTTTCAAACTTCCCCCACTGGGACCGAATGGGACTTTTGAGGGGTTAAATAGGACATCATTATCTACACATTCCCGTTGAGATCGGTTGGTTACTAATTTTTTCCACCTCAACCTCCAGATTGACTGGCCGAAGGGTCAATTTCTTTTGTACAAAGTTAATTTATTTAAATTAACGAGTCGTATGATGAATGGATCAGGCCGATAGCCACCTGGAAAAATTTAATCTAATCTAGGGGAAAAAGGAAATTTAAATTATTATTACTTTTATACGGTTAGATTTGCTTCCATTATGCTAATTTTTCAGTTGCTTATGTTACATTAAAGATACTGCAGTAATGTCAGTGCATTTTTGAAACTATACATGTACCAGACAGTATAATAAACCCAGACAGTATAATAAACCAGACAGTATAATAAAATTCACATCCATTTATGCTCGTCAGAGACAATATCTAAATTTAAATCCAGACAGTTTTAGCTTCAGGACATTCATAGAAATAATTTAACTCTGCTATTTATACAGCATAATGAGCACAACATCGTACTGATGATTTGTGCGTCTCCGATTTTGTTTTCATGTGCTATTATTATGGAAAAAAAAACACAAGCATCATTAAGAATACACACGCAAAATTGTTGGATTTTGCCAGTTATACTGATGGTTACATTGAACGTTTTCGGGTTATTATTATAAATTTAATTTTGTCTCAAATTTAATGTATATACAGGGCGTTACTGAATAACTGACCAATATTTCACCCCTTAATGTTAAAAATTACATACCATCCCCTTAATGTTAAAAAGAAATGTACTCAATTTCATAAAAATGCCCAGTGGCTCCGAAGATATAAATATTTTTTTCTTAAGACTTATAGATATTCAAAATCGCTCTGTAAAATATCGATACATATTCAGAAACATCTTGTATACTTCAAAATCAGTACTAATTCAGTATTTATTTTACAGTAAACAACTATTTTTTGAACTGAAAATAACGTCTTATTTGTTTCTAAAAGTGTTAAATTTGTTACCAGCACCCTGATTCAGCCCAAATTAAGAGTTATTTTTAATTAGAACTCCAGCTTTTTCAACATGTCTTCTTAAATTTTTAATTTGCTTCTGTATGCCTGAATAAATTTAAAGATAATGTTCTTGCTCTTGCGAAATTCAACGACTAATTCATTTTTAATTTTCTTTAGGCAGGTAGAAGTATATAAATTCGATTTTTTGTTGGTATCATAAATTAATACTGAGCAAAGTCTCTCCGGTACTATCGGAAGAACTAAGAATTTTGAAAAACAAACATTGACAAATATATGAATATAGCAAATAACAAAGTCAAAAAAAAATTAAGAAGATAAAAAATCCTCGATTAACCCTGTATAATATGCCAATTACTAAAGTTTATAAAAAACTGATTTTACGAACTAAAGTTGATATATAATTATATAGAGTTTGCGTTTTTTTGCCCCCATCTAAGTGTATAATATTTCCGTTTGGTAGACTTGTACCTAGTTACGTGGAGTGAAACCCTATAATTTCATTAGAAAGTCCTTTTCAACGCTTCTCACCAAAATTCTAATGAAGAATTTCGAAATAACGAGCTACGTTCACGTTCAAAAACTCGTTCGAATTTCTTTGTGCCCGCCCTCAAACCAATTTGTAACCTAACACTGGCAACGGCTGGTCGCGCTCCTTTTAGCGCAATTTATTACGGAAACATTCATCCCGTCGAACGACGCGGTAAAAAGTAGACGTCTATTTGCAGTTAAACGATAAAAAGTCGCCCCATAAATCCGGCAACGCCGAGCGGCTTTACTGGCTGAACCGCGCCGATTGGATAAAAATTGCAGAGCTATATTTGCGGCGATCAACCAAATGGCAGTGCTCTGTTTTCAAAGTTATTAAAAGCTACGCGAATGCATAATTTAACAAAAATTATACAATATAATATGGCAAAATCAGAGATCACCCAGAACTTATAGAAGTAGGAATTAGAACACTTTGGGCAGGCAGCAGACTTTTATATGGCATATGGCTCTTTCAACGGTCAAATACGAGAGAAAAATTCTTGGTGGCTTTGATAGAAAAACATTTACTGTGGAAAATTCCCTATAAATATAAATCCGTGAAAATCTGCGAAACGGTTAACAATTTAGAGTATAATTCCAAAAATATTCATTTTTTAATTCTCCATCTGTTGAAAACATTTCCAAAGTTTTTTATTCTAGGAGCTACAGTTGTCCGAGACACTATTGTCGGACCCTATAGAGGTATAAAAGAGCATAAAAACAGTAAAACAGATAACAAAAACAGCAAAAGAGACAATAAAATCAGTGAAACAGACATCAAAAGTGTGAAGCAGTCAGTAAAAACAGTAAAGCAGACAGCAAAATCAGAAAAAGTCTGGTGTCTACCCAAAGTGTCCTAATGTCTACTTAGAGACATATTATGTCTCCCTTTTTCAAGTTATAACTCATGATACAGTCCCAGAGCGTGCTTGACACAAGTCAGTATCTGAGACAGTTTTATGGAGGTTAGTCCTCCATCTCCATATCAGTAAAAACTTTAGCCGTTGTTACTTAGCTTTAATCTACTGAGGTGTTCATTGAGAAAACAGTGTCATTTAAAAAAAAACTGTGACACTACGATGAGTCTTCCAATTAAAGAAAATATATACCAATATATGGGAAAAAAGTTATCTTCAATGTTTCTCAGTTTAGTTCAAGACACTCGAAAATTTCTCAGAACTTACGACCGAGAAAAATCAAAGATTTTCCTTGATTTAAGTAAGAACAATCTTTGAGCTGTCACGATGTTTTAACAGGACACTATATCCTCAGTAGATTGAAGCTAAGAAAAACGGCGAATGCAGATTATATGGGGAAAATGGAGAAACACCAGAACACATCACTTGGTGCGCCGAGACAACAACCATTCGTGGTATAAATTTTAGTACGACTGATATCGGAAATGGAAAACTAACCTCTGTCTCATATACTGACGTTTGTTAACGTTTGTTAAAGCCTTGAGACTGAATGATGAGTTATAACTTAAGAAAGGGGGCATATTTAAATATATACAATATATACAGGGTGAGTCTTAAATAAGTGGAAATATTTTCAGGCCTGGTAGATTTTGATAAAAGAAACATATTTCCGCTTTACCGTTTTTCAAATAACTCCAAAATAACAGAGTTATTTCACTTTGAAATTTTAGAATATAAGTATATAATTTTTTGCTTACATTTTGAGAAAAACCGGATCTTTTCTGCGTTTTATTTCTTGTAAATTTAATCTACTACCTATGTTGCTATATTATCATGTTATTTTGTTTTTTAACTTAAAACTAAAATTGAAAAACTAAAAAAAGATATTTTTAGGTTTTCAATTTTTTTTTGCTTTTTTTAAGACTCATTCTGTATAGATTGATTTAATATAATTTAATGTTATTAGAACATCAACGGATTTTAATAGTGCCAAAAACCCAAAGCTTTCTACTCGTTGCTCTGTGCCATATATAAATTCTTCAAGCATTAACATTTTTAATATTAACTTTGAATAAGAAGACTAATAAGGAGCATAATGGCTATCCATGTATTCATGCATGGTGGGCGGAAAAAGCACTCTAGGGTGGGGATCCTTTACAGTTCTGTTTGACTATTCATTTGACACATTTGAATTTGATTTGAAATTTTGTGGATTTGTCAGTCTTTACGGAGCTTATTTTATGTTATTTATTATTTATTCTACTACTGATAGTTGTATAAAGGTAGTAAATCTAGATGGAAATTGTGGCAGAACTTAAATTAACAGTGACACTATCGCGATTTATCGAAAAGACTCTAAAATAGTTGGTTGTGTAGCGTGCGGTAGCTCTCGGCAAAAATTGAGTGAAATAATGGAACAACTTTTCGCTAGTAAGTGACTATATAATATACATACGTGTAGTAAACCGATCATTTATGAAATTCACTTAAATTAACT